ATGGCCGATTTTCATTCGAATAATCGATTAATCGATTAACGAACCGAAAAGTAAAATATTTGTAATCGGTTATATCATGCCGATATAAGCAGTAACTTCTCCAGAGGATCATCACCCATCGTTTCACACATATGCTGCACTCTCATTGGTGGAAAAATGACAGCACAGCGAACAAAAAATAATCGATTAGATGTTAATCGAATAATTTAAAAAATGGGACATCTCTGATTTTGGTGTGATTGTTTTGATAAAAAAGAGCGCAAAATTTCATCCTTACCGAGGGGGCAGCAAAACCACAAAATTACCTTGCTTACGGGGGTATTCATTGGATGAAAGGGACCGTGAAAGAGGACACTAAAATAGAAAGTTTTTCTTCCGACTGTTTCATCTTAGTATTCTTCTTTGGTAACCCCCTTCGAGATTCAAAGGGACTCGAGAGGGACAACGCACATCACTCGATTCCTCGTCGCCTTGACCAATCGCGTCAGTTTATCCGGAAATCCGTACTCGTGCATAATCTGCCATATCTGATCTCGATCGATTGTGTCGTATGCGGATTTGAAATCGATGAACAAATGATGTGTGGGCACGTTGTATTCGAGGCAATTCTGCAGAACCTACCGAATCGCGAAAACTTGGTCCGTGGTTGCGGGTACTCATGAATCCCGCCTGGTTTTGCCCCACGAAGTCTCTTGCAAATGGTGACAGGCGGCGGCATAGAATTTGGAAGAGTACCTTGTAGGCGGCGCTCCGCAGTGTGATCGCGCGGTAGTTGCAGCAATCCAACTTGTCGCCCTCTTTGTAGATTGGGCATACGACACATTTCATCCACTCCTCCGGTAATATCTTCTCCTCCCAAATCTTGGAAATTACCCAGTGCAGCGCTCTAGCCAGTGCTTTACCACCGTATTTTAATAACTCACTTGGTAGTTGATCTACACCAGTTGCTTTGTTGTTCTTCAGTCGACCGATCTCCTCCTCAACTTCTTGAAGATCAAGGGCCGGTAGCCTGCCGTCTTCTGCGCGTGCTCCAAGGTCTGTTGCCGTGCCACCTTCGTTTTCTGCTGCATCACCGTTGAGGTGCTCGTCATAGTACTGTTGCCACCTCTCAATCACCTCACACTCGTTCGTGAGAAGGTTACCGTCCAAGTCCTTGCACATATCGGCTTGCGGCACGTAGCCTTTACGCGAACTATTTAGCTTCTCGTAGAACTTCCGTGTGTCGTTTACGCGGTACAGATTTTCCATCGCCTCGCGATCTCGGTCTTCCTGCTGACGCTTCTTAATTCGGAAAACCGAGTATTGTCTGTTCCGCGCTTGTCTGTATTGCTCCACATTCAATCTCGTGCGGAGTTGCAGCATTCTCGCCCGTGCTGCATTTATCTCCTCTACTAACAGTTGGCATTCACCGTCAAACCAGTCATTTCTTCGGTCCGGGATCGCAGTACCTAGTGCCGCTGCAGCAGTACTACCTATGTTGGAACGGATGTCCCTCCAGCCATCTTCAAGAGAAGCTGCGCCAAGCTGTTTTCCGTGGGTTGTGCAACTTTCAGCTGCTGTGCGTAGTTCTGGGCAACTCCGGCGTCCCGTAGTTGCTCAATGTTGGGTCGCGCCGTTCGACTTCGACGGGTGTTATGCACCGTCGAGAGTTTTGAGCGCATGCATACTGCAACTAGGTAGTGGCCCGAATCTAAGTTCGCACTGCGGTACGTGCGGACGTTGATGATGTCGGAGAAGAATTTCCCGTCGATTAGAACGTTATCGATTTGGTTTTCTGTGTGTTGGTCAGGTGATCTTCAGATGGCTTTGTGAATATCCTTGCGGGGGGAAAAAGTACTTCGAACTATCATACCCCGAGAGGCTGCAAAGTTCACGCATCGTTGGCCGTTGTCGTTCGATACGGCATGCAGGCTGTTTGGCCCGATTGTCGGTCTATACATTGCCTCCCGTCCTACCTGAGCGTTTATGTCGCCGATGACGATTTTGACGTCCCGTTGCGAACAGCCGTCGTACACCTGCTCCAGCTGTGCATAGAACGCTTCTTTCTCGTCGTCGGGTCTCCCTTCGTGTGGGCAGTGCACGTTGATGATACTGTAGTTGAAAAAAAACGACCCTTAATCCTCAACTTGCACATCCTCGCGTTGATCGGCTGCCAACCAATCACGCGTTGGCGCATCTTACCCAGCACTACAAAGTCGGTTCCCAGCTCGTTGGTGGTGCCACAGCTCTGGTAGAAAGTAGTCGCTCGATGCCCGCTTTTCCATACCTTTTGTCCCATCTAGCAAAGTTCCTGCAGTGCTACAACTTCGAAGTTGCGTGGTTGAAGTTCGTCATAGATTAACCTATCGCAGCCCGGGAAGCCGAGCGATTTGCAGTTCCATGTTCCGAGTTTCCTTATTTCGTCCCGTAGGTCTGTGCCGATTGTTGCGATCCGTATTCCTTTCTTCTGTATTTGCAACTTTGTTTTTTCCAAGGCGACTTGTTGGGCCTGCCCCAACCCCCTGTCTCGCGGGGGGACCATCGTGGACAGCTCTGTTTTGAGTCCCACGCTGGTACTAGGACGGTGATCAGGCGCTCCTAACATGCAGAACAGACGCCGTTTTGAGCCGCACCTCCATGGTGAACAGACGCTCGGGTTTGGTGAAGCATTTCCTCTATCACCGTATTATGGTTACCGCGCCAGTGTTCGCGTCGCACCTCTTCACTTTGCTATTGCCGGACTGGCAACATTGCCCAGGCTACGCCATTCAGCTGTGTCCTTGTTTCAGCTGGTAGTCTTTTGTTATCATATGACTCGGGGAGGCGTGAAGTAGGAACTTGTGACCATGCTTGGCATACACAGTTTTCTCCACGAACTGCTCATTTGCTAATGTAACAACTTTGCAGTCAGTTGACAAAGCATAGTTATGTTTGAAGCAGTAGGTAGAATAATGTTTAAGCTTGTTATAGGTACGTAAGAAAAAGTAGATTTTAATTCTAGTAATAAAATTTATTTGTTTTTGCGTTGTAAAAATCAAGCGAGAAATGCTCGCTGCACATCTTGGACTTTAAGCGTAAAAATTCATTGGTGTTGATTCAAATGTTAAGATTTACCTACTCTTTGCATATCTATAGTAAGCTATGATCCTAATCTATCAATAACTTTAAATAAAAACAAATTTCAATAACTGAGTGAAAAGTTATTAACAAATGAGCAGTCGGTGTGTACCACTGTGCATTCCAGGCATGTTGTCAACTCACCATTTTGTAGCCCAACACTTAGATATATATATATATATATATCATAACAATTAAGGCTGGTAAGTTACTGTAGTAGCTGGAGCACCTAGGTTAAAATGAAATGTAATTAATTTTGAATTAGGAACAAATAAAAAAAAGCGTTAAAAAAAGATTTATAATAAATCGTATTGTCCATTACGATAAAATGACCATAGATTTTTGTTTTGTTTTTAGATATGTGACCCGATAACAGAGATGTGAACGACACAAAAAGATATTCATTTTTAGAGATTTAAGCTCGATTATAGCGGATATAATCGATAAAATGGATTTATACGACTAGGAATCGATTCATCTAGCTTTATAGTTTGTTTTGGGTTGTTATGTATCTTAACCGTACATAAAATCAATTTTTCGCTAACAAACTTGAGCCATTTACCATTAATGTTGTTTTTTCTATTGTTGAAAATTCCTACCATATAGGACGTATTGTAGATCTATTGTAATAACAATATTTTAAATTTGCTTGTATGATATACATGCAATAAGATCGATTGTTGTCAATAGATTTTGTTGTGATTGTATTTTATTTTATGATAATTATGGTTTTTTTTTTTTCCTTTGGTTTGTTTTTTCCGTCGATCTTGTTTTCCGTGCTGAGCACCAATGCTACCGACGTGCCAGAAAGGCAGCTCCCACACCTGGACCCTACCTATCGACCCATCAACTCATGAACCGGGGACCAACGGGCTTTACTTCCCATCCGAAGGAAGGCGTGATCAGAGATGTTATGCCTCACAACATCCCGGCGGCGCCGACTGGGATTGAACCCAGGCCTGCTGGCTGGGGTGAGAGGTAATCACGCTTACCACTACACCACCGGCGCCGTTAATTGTATGGTTATTTTTTAACACATACACAAATTGAATATCTTATAAAAAGTATGTCCACCAACCAAATAAACTTTAAATTTAGAATTTATTAGAGTAGACATTGCACGCAAGGTTAACAGAATATATAGAACCCAGGGTACTGCGGACTCACTCAATATGCTCGTCAACTGGGAGCCAATGTGAACTGTCAGACGGAAGCCAAACATTCAGAAGCCACTCATGTAGTTACTATTTTTAACGATCGTCAAGAATCGTCATCTCATAGAAATGAAACGCACTTTTGTAACCAACCAGGCAGAAACCATAATGCTCAGTGAACTTATCTTCAAAAACAGCACCGATTTGATATCTCAACTGAGTTATAATTTCAATAAAACATACTGGGGGCGACCCCGGCGTAATGGTTAGCATCCATGACTCAACCCCAGACAAGTCACGAATGACCCAAGAGCGTTGAAGAGACTATAAAAAAAAACATGCTCTGACGAAAAACTAATGTAAACAAACTTTATGAGAGTCGTGGGAGCTCGAGCACTCCTAACTCAGAATTTTTGGGTTGATTCAACTGAAGAAGAGCAAAACAATTTGCTGGTAGTGAAATTTTTCAAGCAGTTTTCCATTTGCTTGCAAAATAAAATCGATTGACTCCGCAAAACCCAGATAGAACCGTCAAAGTGATCCGATCCGCTACGTCTGTTTGTCTGTGCTTTTATTGTAGGTGCTTAGTTTTAAAACACGGACGAGAATGGCAAATCTATCAAATACAAAACAAAAACATTCACATTTTAGCCCAAAAGCCAACCTGTTGACCAATGAATTCCATTCATAAAATTTGGGATCACTGCTCCGAAAGGGAAAAAAAAATAGCTAACTACACTTCGTACATACACTTAAGCACTCCATGGCGGTCCCCGCCTGGTGTTGAAACGCCATTTTTGCCATCCTGTCGCCTTTATCAGCCCTCAGCTGACCTTCTGGATGATGAACACAATCAAGGGTAACTATTAATCACTCACGGAAAAGATTAATCACGATTTTTCCACTCCTTGCGTTTCGGTTAACCACGGACGATTGGAAACTTTTTACGAGGAAACGCACTGCACTTCGACTACCGAAAAAAAACAAGAACCGACCGCGACAAATGAAGCACAAGAACTAACGAAATGAGAGAAAAGCGTGCTGTGAAACGAACAAATTGGCGTTGACAGCACCGTCGAAAAATTATTGTCTCTTCTAGAAAAGATTGACAGTTTCTTATGGGATTTTTCGATGGTGTGAAAGCATAGTACGAAGTCAACCATGTTTCACGCACAGTCTGACGTTTGCTTATGGATTTTTACCATAGGAGTAAAGAGCTACAAAGTCGATATTAACGCCAATTGGATGGGGGATCTAGCCGTTATGCGACTAGGATATGTCGACTAGCATTAAATTGCGTACACGGTAACCAACGTAGCACATTAATGAGTAAAAAATACACATTTTTTTTTGCTTTATTATAGAGACTTTCAGCCTGTAGCTGGTTCGTCTCAAAATACACATTTTTTTATGTTTATATGCAGCTGTCAAAAACTGTGTAAATTAGGAGATCTTATAATGTGTAAAAAATATCCATTTTAAGAATGTAGTACCAGTCAAAAAAATGTGTATTTTTATATTCATTAATGGGTAAAAAAACTTCAAACCTTGCTGCATCCTGCTTCGTTGATGCACGCCATTTGCCTAAGCGAAAAAAATCAGCAATTTTAGCATAAAATTGGAAGAAATACGGTCCAAACTGTACAGGACAACGATGAACAAGCTAGTGCGTAAGTTATTTAGATTCTATAACATTCCCCAGAATTCGAATTCCCAGAAAAGCATTCCCCACAGTGTACCATTCCCCAGAAAAATATTCCATGTATTAGATTGACTATTTTTGTTTATTATAGTCATTCCTGGAATATTCTTTCGCGTATATAAAAAAAGAAAAAAAAAACTTCCTAATGGGTCAAGGGGTTTTAGGAGACCTTAATAGATCAAGGGGTTTTCCCTTCTTTGAAAATATAAGCAAATGAAATAATTAATTCTTTAGATATACGATAAAGAAGGGAATATTCCCTTCTTTAAATATATAAAAAAAGAAAATAATTAATTCTTTGGATGTATGATCAAGAGGGGAATATTTCCTTCTTTATCGTATATCCAAAGAATTAATTATTTCATTTTGTTATATTTTTAAAGAAGGGAAAACCCCTTGATCCATTAAGGTGTCCTAAAACCCCTTGACCCATTACGAAGTTTTTTTTCTTTTTTTATATACACGAAAGAATATTCCAGGAATGACTATAATAAACAAAAATAGTCAATCTATGTCAATCTAATGATTTTTTTTTAATAAAATAGTATTGAATCCGAACAATCTTTATTTTATCATTGACACAAATAAGAAAATTCCATTTGTTCCCATCATATTTTAATTCTATAAATGATTAATTTTTACACATTTTGCAGTAAAAACCATGCTTGAAAAATGTGTAAAAAATACTCTTCAATTGAAGTTTGATGGGCTTACACATAAATATGTAAACGCAGTTTACACATTTTATGAGCAGACCCTTTTTTCACAAATTTTTTTAAAAATTTAACACATTACTGAGTATAATTTCACACATTTATGAAAAAAGGGACCTACTTAGAAAATGTGTAAACTGCGTCAATAGAAGAATATTTTCAACACATTTTTCAAGTACGGTTTTTACTGCAAATTGTGTAAAAAGTAACCATTTCTAAAACTTAAATATAATGGGGACGCATGGTTTTATAAAAATTTCGGAGCTTTCTTATGTTATGAAGTTATGAAGCAAGCGAATTCGCAGCCAGACACCGGACATATGCTGAGTGCCCGCGTAAACGCGAACCATAAATTGACCTTACCTAAAATGGTTAAAAATTGTTTATAATCCCTGCTAAACTTTAACTGAAATGGTTATGGAACTTTACATGAACGTTTAATGATAAAGTTTCAACCTTATGTATTATGGTTTTTCGGAACTGGACCTTACAAATAATGCGTTGTTAAGAACCATTACCGTTCCAAATTCTTGTTTTTTCCATACATTTTCGGAAAGAGAACTATATTAGAACCTTTTAACTTATGGTCCACGAATAGTTTTGTAACATCGATCAACTTTATGTGGAATATATCGCGAATTGGTTGCCTGTCATTTACTGATTACCAATTCACGATATATTCCACGTAAAGTTGAGCGATAATACAAAACCATTAATGGACCTTACTGACTACCATAACCATTACCATTAATGTTCTCAAATCATAAGTAAAAACGTTCTTATATAGTTCTCTTTCTGAAAATGTATGGAGAAAACAAGAATTTGGAATGGTAATGGTTCTTAACAACCCATTATTTGTAAGGTCCAGTTCCAAAAAACCATAATACATAAGGTTGAAACTTTATCATTAAACGTTCATGTAAAGTTCAATAACCATTTCAGTTAAAGTTTAGCAGGGATTATAAACAATTTTTAACCATTTTAGGTAAGGTCAATTTATGGTTCGCGTTTATGCGGGTGACTTACCCCTTGTACAAAACAAACTTTAAACACGTTTCTCTCGGCTGACTCAAGCCTAAAGTCCCACGCACATTAGATGCGGATCGGACGCGTTGCCGTAAAATGACAGCTAAATCTATTGTTTAACTGTCAAATTTACGTCAACGCAACGCAAACGGATCTAATGTAGGTGGCATTTAAGCCTTTAAGCCCCCAACCCAAGTAACCATAGACACGTTATTTCGCCTTTTTGGCTGTATACAGCTTAACAACGGGTATAGCAGTGTTTTTAAGTTCTGATGAGGCCCGTATATAGCCGAAAAGGCGAAATAACGTGTCTGTGGTTACTTGGGCCACGCTTTCGAAGAAACATTAGGAATAATTAAATGTAATCACCGTCCAACACCGTTTTCCAACTAGAAAGGGTACTCTGACGCACTAAATGGTAAAATTCATCGTGTGAAATTTTCCTGTCATCAAGGGATGGTCACTCTACACACTTATTTTGAGCCAATATTTTTCTCAGTGTACCTCAGTGTGCCGCAGCTGTACAGGCAGTGCCAAGAAGTCATTGAACTGACTTTTGTTTGCTTGTGAATAATGCCTTGTTTGGCAACCCGGTATTTTAACAGCTCTTGTTTTTGTTTTGTTTTTCAATGTTTTCAAAACTGACATGGACTCCAGTTGGGACTACACACTGGATGCATCCGTCTCCAAGGATGCCTGCAACGGACGAGCTCGGTTGCTACATGATTCTTCCATCTTAAGCGGAAGGCCGACCCGGCACAACGAACGTCAATCATTATTCAACCAGCGCTTCTGGGAGCCGGATAAGGAAACGGAAAATCGGAAAACTGGAAACCAACACCGGCCGGACCACACGTCGAACTGATGAAGGGCCCGACCCGATGACCCGAAACGGACCAGCCAACTTCATTCAACCGGCACAGCAACAGGGCGTGGTCTACGGACTCGGTACCGCCATGGTCCAGATGGGAGACGCCATCGCAGCCGAACCAGTCAAACGCAGCATCCAGCACTTGAACAATGGAAATGATGGTAGCAAAATTCAAATTGCATTTTCCAAGCAGAACTACTTGTCAGAGTCCACCAACCCGTACACTTTGCTGGACAATTCGATCATCTTCAAGGTGTATTGCACCTCCAAGAACAATAGCTTCCATTCCCGAGCAAGCTTCTCCACTTCTTCAATACCCCACCCGGTATGTCCGAGAATCTGCTTCTGACTGCATTCACCACCAAGGACTGCCACCCGTCGCAATTGCGAATGTTCCCGCTGAAATCGGAATGTTCCTCCTTCGGATTTAACGAGTTCCCGAGTGAAGCCCTGGCGGTGTACGCCATCATGAAGTGCAACCACAGCGCGATCGATCTCAAAGGCACAAAATTCCCGTTCATTATGAAGCTGTGCTTTTCCTCTGCCAAGCCTATGAACGGTGCGTGGAGCAACGAGAACATCAAAAACCCGTAAGCTTGGAAAGAGCGGAAGCTTCTTTTTCTGAGAAAAGAAAGAAAGGATTTTCCTTTTTCTGTGTAGTTAATGTTATGATTCGTAATTTTAATTTCTTATTGTGTTAGTTGGAAGTGTAAAAAGGTAGGAGAGTAAAAATAATTTGTTGAACTATTTTAGATTTTGCCAAGACGGTCCTCCAACATTATATGTTGGACGATGGAATGGTTGGTGTAGCAGCCACCGCCATGGATGTATTCGAGCAGTTCGAATGGTCGGATGGTATAGTTTTTGTTTGGTTGTTGACTTTCCGATTAAAACTCAAGCACCGTTTGTCGTGACCGGCCCAAGATTTCCAGCGTCGGCCGCGGCTACACGAATTAGCGATGCAGCTCCCACGGCTGCGGCTGCTTCAAATGCTGCTGCTGCTGTTCCTTCTGCTGGTCCGTCTCCTCTAAAATTCGTCAGAAAAGACGGACCAGCAGCAGCATTGGAAGCAGCCGCAGCCGTGGGACCTGCATCGCTTGTTCGTATAGCCATGGCCAGAAACCTTGGTCAGGTCAAGATACCGCTGTCAGCTGTTCTTCGTCTGGTAGGAAATGTGGACGCGACTGCCGTCACGGGTGTAACGATGGTGAGAATCCGTGGCGGGACTTGGTTGAGATTCACGGTTGTGTTTTGAAAATAATTTGATTATATTGTGGCAACATCAATAACAAATTTTGACACATGCAAACTGCGCAGGCGCAGAAAAAGTTCAGTGTTGCCAGTAACTTTAAAATTGTAACCATGGCAATGGTTACCAATGACTGCACCCGGGTGTGCCCAAGTTTGATTTTGGCACACTGTGTAGAGTGACCAACCCCTTGCCTGTCATAAAATTCGCCTTCCTGTGCACCCACCTTGCGAGAGAGTCCACCTTCTCATTACCTGGGATTAAGCAATTAACCAGCACACTCATCTGCTCCGTTACCTTTGAAAGGAAATAAGAGGAGTGCCTACCTGGTTTCATCGACCGAATAGCCTCAATCAAACTGAGATTATCCGAGATGATGAAGTAGTAGTCTGCAGGCATGTTGGAAATCATCCCCAATGCGAAGTTGATGGCAGCCAGCTCAGCAAAAAAAAACAGACAAGGTTCCTGAAGTTTGCGGAAGAGGCTAGAGGTTTCATTGAAGACACCGAAGCCAGTGGATTCATTGAGACAGGACTCGTATGTAAAATATATGTTCACGCAATTTAAGTGTTGGTCCTTTTCATTAAAAATACAGGGAATAACAATAGGTCGAATTTGATTGGGAATACAATGAATTGCTTGTTTCATGGTCAGATCATATTCAATTGTCAGGAGTATAACAAGGAAGACACATATCTGACGTATGCAGAGGTGCACAGAAAAAAAAGTTGTTGAATATTACATCCAAACTGCTACAACCAGGTCAATCCATCGGTTGTGTAATATAACCAACAATCAATACTACTTGACTAGCCTATTGGCCCCAAGCAAACGATTAACGTACCCCATTCTAGTCAAAATTCTAGTACTACACAACAGTGATGGCATCATCCTCACTCAAATGATTTTGTTTCGCTCTCAAGGGCTCCCAATATCACGCATGATATTGGAATAAAATATCAAGCATGATATTGTTTTTACAAGCTCCTTTGATATTGCGAGATTATTCAGAACATGTAAAATTGCAGCCACGAGATGACTTACCACAAAAATGATTCCTTTGCACATCGTTTTCTTAGAAAGAGAAAGCATATTTCTTTACGCTTCACAGATGGCAGACACGAAGTTACTGCTGCCAGCAGTGATGGAAGTTTCGTTTCGTGTTCGGATGTACATCAAAAATCTTGAAGCTCAAACTCAACATGAATCAAAACAAACATAGTGTAGTACTGAAATTTATACTAGAATGCGGCACGTTCATCGATTTGCTTGGGACCAATAGGCTAGTCAAGTAGTGAGCCAATTTAAAATCGATAGTTTCGTATTGATTGTTGATATAACGTTGTACGATGTACATCGATTTTGCGAACAAAATTACATCCATTGATGTAATATTGTATCTGCTTTTTGCTATTACATCATTATTTCATACATCAGCTTGAATTACATTGATCGATATTACATTTTTTTTGCTGTGCAGGTCAATCCATGCTGACCTGGTTGCAGCAGTTTGGATGTTATATTCAACAACTGATTTTCTGTGTTGTTGCAGCAGTTTGGATGTAATATTCAACAACTTTATTTTTCTGTGTTGAATAACGTTGATCGATATTACATCTTTTTTTGCTGTGTATGTTTATTCGATATTTCAGTGTCAACATTTCATAGGGCGTAATTGTATTAGTAAACAATGGCTTTAGCCGTCGATTTCTCGTGAATAAAAGCTTACTCATGAAGATTAATGACACCAACAGGTAGAAGAATGTCTTCTTTACCAGCTAGCATTGTTAATTTGAAGCGATGGGCTTTTATTTGCGAGAAATCGATAGCTAAAGCCATTGTTTACAAAAGCAATTACGCCCCTTTGAAATGTTGGAACTGATTTAGTGAAAAACCCGAAAAACCATCAATTTTGAGTTAATCTCATCGGCCGTGTAACTTTTGTGGGGACGTGACTTCAGAATAACGGTTTTACGAGTCGACATTATCTGCTTGTCTAAAGAGCGACTGTCGAGTGATGAGAACAAACAAAAGTGTCAGATACTAATGTCAAAATTTTGGCATTCAGTCGTTACCAATTTGATTAGCGATCAGGCGAGTAGGTGAGTTATTTACGAAATAATATTACCAATAATTATTAGAATTAATGAAAGAACGTTTACTGAACGTTTAACATTTTACAGGATATACGCAAAGCTGCAACGATGTCTGGCGCAATGAAAAAGGTAATAATTTCCTTCCGATTGTATGTGAAAACTTAATTTCTGTAGTGTTATTCCCGAATGTTGATTATGTCATAGCTTCCAATGTTTTGATGTTTGCTTCTTCATCGTTCAGGCTACCGGATTAACGGGAATGGCTGTGGCCAAGAACCCGCACCACACACTAACGGCCTTGTACAACAAAATCCTTCGCGCCGTAGCTAAAATGCCTCAGGATGCTGCGTATCGACGCTACACCGAGCAAATTGTGGCAGACCGTGCCAAGATTGTTGCATCGGTGAGGAAGATGGGTATAATTTTGGAAGAATCACATTAATCTGGTTTGCCTTCTTACATTCCAGACTCCGTCGGTTAGTGAAGTTGAAGAAAAGATGAATTGCGGTCAGGTGGAGGAATTGATCCTCCAGGCCGAAAATGAACTGAATCTAGCCCGTAAGATGCTTGGTTGGAAACCTTGGGAACCACTAGTCAAGCAAGCTCCGGCAACCCAGTGGGCATGGCCACCGGCAAAGATTCATGAACTCAAGTAAGGTGGAAAAATAAAGGTTTATTCTCTGTTAACTGAAACTAGAAGCCATGTAAATAGAATGAAGTATACCTGCTTGTTCAGACAGGTAAACTGAAAGTCACCAGTATTCAAAATGTCTGAGAAAGCCTTGTCTAGGTGAACACTACCTTCAGCTTGAGGCGATAGTCACGACCTGTAGAAAAAAATTTGAATTATTAGTTCGTTCCAACTTTCGGGAGGATTTTCGCAGAGTGACATGAATCCAAGAAAAATAGCAATTTCTTGCAATATATTCCTACTCAAACATGTTGCAGAGATTCGCTTCCGACTATCCCCGTAAACATTTTAATTTTGTCCTAACACTTTGCACAATTCTCAATAATTATGTGTAAATGTAAGCATTCCACTGATTTTAGCTTTACCATCGCCTTCAAATCCGCCAAAATGTTGATTGTAGCTGGCCGATCCTTGCACTTCCGTGTTTCCGTTGCTGCTTCGCCACAAACGAGCAATTGCTTCGGCCGTTACGTCCGTTCCATCATTCTGCTGGTGGGTGGCTCCAAAGTTCAACGAAAACTGTCGTTTCACTCGGTTTGAATAACTCACTGCTGACTTCTGGAAAGTAGGGCGTTCCTATGTAGTTATATTTGTTTTCTCTTTGAGGCGATTCAACAAATACCTCGTCTGGAATGGGTACACATGATACCAGGTGGAGTATGAGTATAAAGATTAGAGCATATGATTTGACCATTTCGCGAACTGTACTTCGATGATGACCTAATGTGGGTACTTTTCAAAACGCAATCACTTCTCTGGTAAAAGTCAATAGATCAACTGACTCATGCTGCCTTCTGGGAATCAACGCGAGGATTGATAATAGCGTATTATTGTTTTTTTTTTCAGTATGTTTGAACTGATAACGTATGGAATTTCAATGATTATTGAAAAGTACTCGTACAGTAAATCATTTGAATCTAAAACACACATGAGTTTGGAGCTCAAAATTTAGATCATATTATTTATTACTTTATCTAAGAAGCAGGAAAGATTGTTCTTGCTTTGTCGAGAAGCTCGCAATATGGAGAAGTTGAAGAGTTGCCACACGCAGCGCCGTACTCAGCAAAAAATCCTGAAGGTCGGAAATGTTGCTCTAATGTTGCTTGATCATCTACAAAGATCCCTTATCTTTACTTCTTGAAAATTATCTCAACTTCTACGAAGTTCCATAAACTTCTTCCAAGTTTTATAACTATTTTTTTCAAGTTCGGTCAATCTGACCAAGATCTCAGAACATCGATGAGCTTCTCCAAACTTCTGGACATACCTTGTACCTTTTCTACGAATTATCCTAAACATCTGTGCGAAACAAAGTTAAGTTTCGAAATATACTGAGCTTATACGAAATTCCCTAAACTTCTACATTTTTGACTAAACTTTTAACTAAAATCTCAGCACTTCTATGAAGTTTTATGAAGTTCCTCCAGTTGCTACGTAATGCCACGTAATTTGATCGACTTCTACAAAGTTCTCAGAATTCCAATTAAGATTGCTGAACTTCTACAAATATGAACTTTTTAGAATTTCGTCGATTTTCTGCGAATTTCCCTGAACTTCTACGAAATTTCCTGAATTTCTACGGATTTTTCTTATCTATTTTAAGTCCATTAATCTTTAACGAAGTGCCCTTAAGCTAAAATAATGTTTATGAAGTTTCTTAAAACTAAACAAAGTTTCCTTAACTTCAACGAAGTTTCCCAAAAGGTTCCCAGTTCTACGAACTATTCCTACATACTTCAAATCTCCGCGTACATCGTACGGGTTAGGCAAAAGGTGTGCGTTTGACTTTGTACTGTCGCATTAATGGCCCATCGCTCATTTTCAACTTCTATTCAATTTTCAAACTTATCCGAGGGGCACGCAATCATCGATTTGACTGCGTGGTAATGAAAATACCGTTAAAATATTTATGAATAATTAAAATATTTCAAGCGGTATTGAAATAATAATCAGAATATTTAGAGCAGTATTGAAAATAATTAACAAATATTTTGCGATAATTGAATAATATTTTGCGTGGAATGTATTTTAAATATTCATTTTTGACAGTATTTTATTATTCATAAAATACAAGAGTGTATTTGACATAATGAATGCAATAATGATAAGATTTTAAATATTTGTTGATTGGGCTGCGTAGTATTGTGCGTGCCCCTCGTAATTATCTCTTAAATAAAGATTGAAAAAAAATTCATACTGCCGTATTCTAACGGAACTATCTACCTACCCTCTTCTAAGATAATTCTCTAGCTAATAAATTTTCACACTAAAGCATCATGCTTGATGAACATTGTCATGTCATGAATAATGAACATTTAGTGTTCATGATTAGTAAACATTGCCCGCAGCTTGTGTCACTTTTTCTCGAGTGAGTGAACTCAAATTCATCGGTGCACTCGTCCATATTATGGTATATTTGGCAACCCGGTATTTCTGACAGCTCGACTGTTATGCAATCACAAGGATAACATCGGTCTAGCTGCAACCAAGGAGGAATGCAATGTCGTAATAAGAAAATACCATCGATATATACTAGGAAGGAGCAACCAACAATCAATATGAAACTAACGATTTAAAATTGGCTCACTACTTGACTAGCCTATTGGTCCCAAGCAAATCGATTAACGTACCCCAATCTAGTATAAATTCCAGTACTACACTATGTTTGTTTTGATTCGCTATGAAAGTTTGACAGATAAAATGAGGGGCTCGTGGATTTTCCTATGTTTCCAGGGGTGCATCGATCAGCTTGGGACCGAAGATAGTACCAGAGCTGAGCAAAAAAGTTGAGCTCGTTTCTTCGGGACCTTCTGGTCTTAGAGTTACCCCTATGGAGCAACCGCCGTCGAACGTATGAGAAGAAATAATGCTCCCATAAATGTGGTTATTGTCTCATGGGAACTGAAACAAAACAAACATAGTGTAGTACTATAATGTCAGCAAGAATGGGGTACGTTAATCAATTTACCTGGGACCAATAGGCTAGTCAAGTAGTGAGCCAATTTTAAATCGTTGTTAACCGCAGCGCAAACACAACCGCACTTCTATCATCGAAGCCCTTGGTGTGGAGATGGAGTCGTCGACTGGATACGCCCAGTTCATCGCCGTCTACTCCTATCGACAGTGTGCCACCAGCAATGGACTAGCGGCTAAATTCAAGAAGGACCTGTCCACCATCACCCGTACCGGTTCCCGCTTCGTTGTTGGAGGAGATCTGAATGCTCGGCATGAGGCCTGGCGAAACTACCAACATTCATCTCACCGGCGGGCAACCCATCGACCTATTCCTGACAAATACCGGCTTGTCCAAGCCGGCAGCCTTGACCGAACTCAGCTCCGACCACCAACCGGTGGTGGCTGAACTGGGCTGCAACATGGCCTCTGCTCCAAGCCTACGCAAGGACTACCACCGCGTACACTGGGTCCAGTTTGGACGCGTGGTAGATAAGAGGACATTGACCGAGCGTTCGAGGGACTCCACCAAGCCATAAACGTGGCTGATGAGTTCCAGTGAGGGGTAAGTTTATTGTCATTGATTCCCACACCCCACTCTTGATTCGCCTGACAAATATTCGTAAACGCCAGTTCCAAAGAACTGGAGATCTAGCGATGAAACGTGAAATGGCCGATCTGAACAAGGAGATTACTTCCAGAATGGCCCTCAATCCGGAACTAAAGTTTCGGGCGGCTCGGCCAGAATCTGTACGACCGCTCCAGACCATCTGGGAGGTTGCCAAGGTTCTAAATACGCACCGCATAATCACCCATCAGGAGAAAGCAAATGCGATTGGTGAGCATATTGCCAAATCGCACTTGCTTGGCTCCAACATCCAAAGTCCGCTCGAAGATCAGGTTGCGCAATGCGTATTCAACCTTGATTCCTCCCCTTGTGCTATCCCTCCGGAGGATATGATCTCAGTGGAACAGATTTGTTCAGCGCTGAAATGCACCAACAAAATGAAGGCCCCCGGGTTCGACGGAAAATTCAATCTAGTGTTGAAAAACCTTAGCATGAAGGTTCACTCTCTGCTGGCCGCTGTCTTAAACAGATGCTTGGAAATGCACTACTTCACAAGCATCTGGAAGACAGCGAAAATCATACCTATCCGCAAACCCGAGAAGGACCTAACATTAGCTTCAAGCTACAAACCGATCAGCCTCCTTTCAGCGCTGAGCATATTATTCGAGAAGCTCATTCTCATTCGTTTGCTCAAGTTTGTCGAGGAAAACAACATCCTCCTTCCGGAACAGTTCGGGTTCAGTCCACCAATCACCAGCTAGTACGGGTGATGAATAATATCCGTAGTAACAAAGTTATATCCAAGCGTTTGACAATGTCTGGCACGATGCACTTGTATACAAGCTTTGTAACTTCAACTTTCCTTTGCATCTTGTTAAAATCACCCGTAACTATCTCCAGCAAAGGTTGTTTAATGTATCGTTGAATGGTTGTCTTTCAGACACGTTCCATCCCAGTAGGTGTTCCGCAAGGAAGTCTGTTGGGCCCTTTGCTTTATAGCATCTACACTTCCGACATTCCTCCTCTCGAAGACGGTTGCGTGTTTTTCCTGTTCGGAGATGATACCGTAATAGCCGTTTTTTTTCACAGATGGGTCAACTATAAACGCTTCCACTGGATTTGTAGTATTCAACGAATTTCATAGTGCCTCTTATCAACTTCAAAACCATGTTCCGTATATGTTGCGGAACTATCAGCCATATTCTACGCAGTAGCACTGTTGGAGTAAATCGGTAACGCAGTGTGCTGATCACCTCCTTGGAGACCGAACGTCACCCCTAGCAACCTAAGTTTTCTTAAATAAACAACGGTGAAAAACTTTTCATTCCTGTTCAAGACTCCACTCAAGCTAGTCGTTAAATAAAATCCATTCTACTTTTAAACTTTGCTGTTCCGGTTCTTTCTAACCATCAAGAGGTTATGGGCGACTCACGCAAGGATTTGGTCCACGGGATCCCGCAGTTCTCGGGCACCGGTTTCGAC